AGTTTGCTTTTGGAGTCTGTTTAACAAGTTTTGTCTCCTTAAGGGATTTATGAAATTATGACTCCACATAAATCTGTTCAATTTTTAAGACACTGAAGAAAACATAATATTATGATTTTTGTGATATTCATGGTCACACTATACTTGTTGCTGTTGTAAGTTTAAGTCCCCTGATTTATAGCCACTTATATTTATTCAAATTGATCTCTCTGACTATGAGATATTGGTAAAAGTTTGTCACCATTCTGACTCCTGCACCTTCTCAAATGAGTTATATCAAGCTTTAAACAACTTGGATAATAAGAAGGACCTGTCCATTGATTCAGGTTATTTTAATGAACTTTCTTTGCTACAATAACCCAGCTTTTTTTCTTTTTGCTTCTGTAATTATACTTTAATTAGTATAATAATATTGAACTTGGAAAAAGCTCAAGAGGAGGAAATTGTGGAAAGGGTGCTTTATTATATTGTTCAAAAACAATTATTATGCTGTTTAAATATAGCAATAGTTTGCACAAAGAATGTCACTTGATGCTAATAATTCTCTAGGAATGCTGAAGAGAGCTATAAGGAATTTGAGGTTCCTTCAGGTCTTGGATCCACCCCAAACATCCTGGTTTTAGGTCCCCATACCCAGCTCTTGTTCTGGACCAACCTAACCTTATGTTTGTTTTTTTTTGTTTTTGTGATTTATGTTTGATGCATGCAGAAACTGTTGTCAAAATCCTATATGATATAAACCTTCTAGAACCTAAGATAGGGAGACATCCTTTCTTTCTGACTTTCTCTCTCTTTCTACCAAACTAATAAATTTCTTTCAAAAACTATTTTAGAAAGCCTTAGCTACATGGGGTCACGAAGAGTCAGACACAACTGAATGACTGAACAACAGCAAAGAAAAAAAACCTGATCAACACAATGATCCAAGACAATTACAAAAGACTCATGATGAAAGAATTCTGTCCACATCCAGAGACAGAACTGATGAATTCTGAGTGGAAATTGGAGTATATTTCCCTTTGTTTTTTTTTTTAATTTTCTTACCTTTTTTGAAATACAGCTAATATGGAAATATGTTTTACATGATTTCACATGTATATTGATATTGTATGGATCACCTTTTCAATAAGGATGGGAGAGAGTGGGAGGAAGGTAGAAAATTTGGAACTCAAAATTTAAAAACAAAAGAATGTTAAAAAATAAATAATGAAATTTAAGAAACAAAAAAAAAACTAGTTCAGATTTTGTGGTTTGTCCTCACAAACAAAGAGGTAACTGATAGATTCTTTCCATTTCTATTTTATCCTCCAGTTCTAAGATATGTGAACCTATTTTATTTTATAATTTCTTGAAATATAATGTCTAAGCTTTTTGTTGTTGTTGTTGATGGTTTTCAGGTAGTCCAGTGGTTCCAAAATTATCTCTCCTTAATCTGTTTTCTAGGTCAGTTGTTTTTCCTATGCAATATTTCATATTTTCTTCTATTTTAAAAGTCTTTTGAATTTGTTTTGTTATTTCTTGATGTCTCATGGACTAAGTGCCTTTCATTTGTTCAGTTCAAATTTTCAGTGAGCTATTTTCTTCAGTGAGGTTTCTGAACCTCTTTTTCTAGTCTGTTAATTCTCTTTCCATAGATTCCTTACCTCTTGCTTCTTTCCTGATTTTTTTTTCTATTTCTCTCATTTGTTTTTAAAATAATTTTTCAGCTTAAAAAATGATCAGTTTAACTCTTCTAGGAATTCTTATTGGACTTTTGGTCTAGAAGCATTTTTCTTTGCTTGCAGATGTTTTCAAGGCATTCTCTTCATCTTTACTTATGTTTTAAGTTTCCTGTCACAATAATAGTTTTTTTAAAAATTCTTTTTTGTTTATTCATTATTCAAGCCTATTTCTTGACTTGGGATTTGATGATAATGCTAGGGTCATGTGTGTGTGTGTGTGTGTGTGTGTGTAATGTCTGGACCGAGCTTCTGTCCTTTCATATCATTCTGCTGCTTTTATAGCTGTAGATGGCGGCCTACAAGCTCTCATTGCTCCCAAAGTGGTGTAATACAGGGAGAAGTCTGATCATTGCCTTCTTGACATAAGCTCTGCAAATTTCTGACCCAGGTTTGGGTCTATGGGCTTCTTAATTTTTGAGAGTTTCAGTAGACTACTGCTGGAATCTGTCATTGTTAGCCTGCTAGGAAGCTCTGCAGATTCAGAAGGACTGAATTGCACCTTCCCTTTGGTCTGGGACACTGTGCTCTCTTCTTGGGATCAGAGCCACAGTTATCATTCACTTTTTGGAATTTGTTCCTTGCTCAGTATATAGCTAAAGTCAATACTACCAACTGCTTTTCTCTATCTTGTATCTGTGAAGCTGCCAGATGGCACTCATTTCTATCTTTTGGGATCTCTTTCTTCTCAGTGCTTCCTGCCCTGGTGCATCTTCTCAGTAGCCTTTCAGGCCAGCTACATTTCCCAGTGTCCATTGACTTCTCCGTTTCTTTAAGCCTCCCTGGGCTAGAAAAATGTCTCACTGCAACCTTTTCTTTGCTTTCTCAATAAGAATTCATTTTAGTATTTTCTGCTTCTTCTTCAACATCTTGACTCCATCTCTCCAGACCCTTTTATATGCATGTGTGACTAGTCAATATCTGAAATAGGCTTTGTGGCACACATTGCTTTCAGGATAAAATGTAAAATTCACAGTCTGATATTTAAAGTCCTACATAATCTGGCCACTTTCTACATGTCCATTCTTCTTACTTTTTATATTATTACTCTTACATTCTTACTCAATCCCTTCCCCTGTATTCTGCATATTCTGGGATCCACTGACCTCCTTGCTTTTCCTCCCACTTCATCTCCTAACTCTGGGCATTTTCACTTGCTGTCCCTCATGCTTGAAACTCTCTCCCTCCCCATCTTCAGCTTCTATCTTCCCAGGTTTCCTTCAAGTCTCATAAAATCCCACCTTCTGCATGAAATTTTTCTTCATCTACCATTATCCTAGTGCCTCTCCTCTGTTGCTTATCTCCAATTTATCTGTATATATCTTGTTTGTACATAATTGTTTGTATGGTGTCTCCCCCATTAGACTACAACTTCTTTGAAGTCAGGGACCATATTTTATTTTTTCTTTATAAGGAATAAGAATCACAGAATACTGACTGACTGCTAAGGTGTGGTGCCCAATGGGGCACCATAAAGGGAAGTGGACCCCATCATTAAGTGGGTGTATGTATCTTGTTATTTCTCTCCTTCCCCCATGTTGTTATTAGGTGACTAGATTGGAGCAAGTTAAACCAGGTAAAGGAGCAAGTGCTTAATAAATGCTTATTGACTGACCTTACATTCAAAAAGACCATCATGAAAATAATTGTAGTTTATGTTCAGAGTGCAGAGATAAAGATAGAGACAAATTCTATTAAGAACTAAACAAGAATCTTTAAAATAAATAATGGTCACTGTCATCAATCTTAATGAAAATGTGGAAAGATATCAAGATATCAAGAAATATACTGGAAAACATAAATCAGAACTTGGATATGGAACAGTATTAATATGAGCAGACTTGAAAACTATGAACATTCAAGCAGTCTCTAAGTGTTTTTAACTTGTTTGTAAAGTCAGTGGTAAATTGTCAACATGAATATTGCTATAAATACTTGTTGATTAATTAATTGATTTATTGATGTATGAAATATTACAAATGACTTGGTTACTTTACACAAAACTAAAGGAGTTCATCTATTGTTCTTTCATAGTAATAGTAACCAAAATGTTTAAGCTCTTTAGAACTAAGAAATCTCTAGACTACTGCCACTTTTTAAACTGACTACATTTCACTATACTCAATAATAGGGGGAATTCCTTACTCATTTTATTACCCATAATTTAAGTAGCATTCTACTCTATAGAAAATATTACTGAAGAATTTCTAATAAAATGCCAAAAACACATTAAAGCTCAGGGGAGAATGGAGGGGAACTGGAGAGGGGGGGATACTTTCCACCTTTTATTTTCAATCTAGATGATTGCTGACATATTAAAGTAAATTTAATGATTTCCAAAGAAGTCCCACAACACAGAGTAGAATTATTGGGGGGGGGGGTTAGAGTGTTAACATCATATTTGAATGCAAGCAAGGATCAGATGTGTTTATTAGGAGTCATGAATAAAGCTGGAAAGGTATAGAACCAAGGAGAACTCAAAGGATTGGTATTTTTAAAAAGTCATAAACAAGGAAAACAAAAGCTCTCTTTTCCTCCTTTTGAAAAAGGTTATGGAATCAGTTCAATAGACTATCCAATAAATACCTGAATACAGATAATTATTTTTTTTCTTCCTTAGATACTTTGATAGTCATATGTCTAGGATAAATGAAGAGTGAATTTTCAACATGAATATTGTTATAATACTTCTATAAAGTAAATGTGATATGGATTTATGGATATATATACATATGGGTGAAGGTTTGTGTGACTTAAATAAAGCAATGCAATAACAATGAGATATAGAATTCAATTTTATTGAAATAACTACAAATATTTTCTACATATACTAGGCCTTATCCTTTAGGTCACACCACTTTATTTCTCTGATTTATTTCAATTAACTTTTACCATATTCTGCTTTAACAATAATAAAATTAATTTAAAAAATAGAAAGGAGTGATATATGAATACCAAGATTGGACCAATTCAAACCACATTCCTGAATACTAAAAATGAAACTAAAAATGAGAAGGTAATAGCCTAGAATCTACCATAAAAATCAGTAAGAACATGTGTGTGTGTTTGTGCTTGTGTGTGCGTGTGTGTGTGTGTGTTTAAGAAGTCATGTTAAGTACAGAAGTATAAACAATTATTTTAAATTGTTCTTATTTCCTGAGATAAGAAGGAAGGTTTCTATATGTTTTTGTCACTCTTACTTTTCTTCATGCAGATGTCATTTGAAAATACTCTTGACTTTGTATTTAAGTAGTGCCCTTCAGAGTAATTATATATACTTACCTCTCACAATCAATTGGCTTTGGTGCTCCACAGCTGCTGCATCATTTCTGGCTATGCAGGTGTAATTCCCATTGTGCATCAGTGAAAGATTAGAAATCCTTAAAGAGCTAGTGAAGTCAATATTGTCAATGGTTACCCCAAGACTCGCTGGAATTGGTCTTCCATCCTTCTGCCAGGTGATTGTGATTGGCAGATCCCCTGAGACCACTACACATGGAATGAAGACCCTTTGTCCAATGGAGAATCTTGGAAACTCAAAAGGCTGAATAAAAGGTGGAACTGTATGGAAAGAAAAAAAAAGATAACAGAAGACAGGGATAACTACAAAGGTACGATATATTATTTTTACTAAGAAAATTGAGTGATATTGAAAAGAAAACACAGGCAGAATTGATGTCAGATACATTTGTGAAATACAATAAATCATTAATTAAATAACCTAAATGTGGACTGTTTGCCTTCCTATATAAGAATGGTTACTTGAATCATGGCTGACTAAATATTTTAATCTATTCTAATATAAATAAATGTGGCGAGAACATTTCTAGAATTATAGGCTCTATCCTCTTAAAATAGTGAGGGAGAGAACAGCAGTTCATTCTGACTTTATCACTTCTTCCATATTCACAGAAGATATGACAACACTAAAATTTGATGCATTGCATTCTTAGTATTAACATTGTAAGTCTTCAAATGCAAAAAAGTATATATGCAACATGCTAATGGTGTTTAAATTGTAAATGTCAGGAAAAAATAAATAATACAGAGAAAATTTATTTTCCAAATGTAGCTAAAATAATGCTTTCAAATTATTGTAATTCCCTCCTCTTTTTTGTTAGATGTTTAAATTTTTTCTTCTGATTGTATCCTTTTCTTTTATGTACCTCTTTTATTACCTCTGTAGGGGATATAAGAAGAATTTTTTAGATCAAGTATTCTAGAAATTGGGGCAGGTAGGTGGTGTAATGGCTAGAGTGTCAGGTCTGGAGTCAGGTAGACTCATTTTCCTGAACTTATATCCAGCCTCAAACACTTAACTAGCTGTGGTGACCCTGGGCAAGTAACTTAACCCTGTTTAACTCAGTTCAATATCTCTTAAATTATCTGGATAAGGAAACGGCAAACCACTCCAGTATCTTTGCCAAGAAAAACCCAAATGGGGCCACAAAGTTAGACAAGAATGAAATGATTGAACAACAACAAAAATTCTAGAAATATTATGTTGTTATTGTTAGGAATTGAATAGTTTGCTAATTAAGTATAGCCATATTAATTATACCAGACAAAACAGGGAAGCAGAAAAACAATCTATAATGAGTGAATGTTTTCAAAAGTAATTTATATTTGGCTTCCAGATGTCATTCAATATTGAGAGATAAATATTCACACAGCATATCTGCTTAAATATACAAACATTATTATTTTGATATTTGGCCTTGACATTCTCAGCTGGGTTTTAACCTGGGATGAAGATAAATGGAGGTAAAGAATATACAATGAAGGTAAAGAATATACAAATCAGTAATCTATTTAAGATTGAAGAAGAGTTTTCTATTCTCCTATTTGTAAATGGAGGTAAAGAATATACAAATCAGTAATCTAAAGATTGAAGAAGAGTTTTCTATTCTCCTATCCCACCTCCATGCCACAAAATACCCAAGATTTAACAAAGAAAGAATAAACACTAAAACTTACTGTGAAACTGAGATACTGATTTTATTACCTGCTGTTTTTAGGAAATCTTGCTAATAACAGTAAATTTAGATATTATTTTTGTTTGTTTGATATGAAGATTACATGTATTCTAAGATCACATGCATTCTATTTTCACTATTACACATTGTTTTATGCTGATGGCCAGTTTGTCCATTTGGCTATAGAAGAATATCAATAAGCCAAAAGTTTCAGGTTTAATTTTCCATAGACCAGTTAACTTTTTTTTTCCAGCTTTTGCTTTATTTTAATGTTTTTGTGATTTCATTAATGTAGTCATACTCAACAATGGGTTAGATTACAACCCATGTATATCTTCCCATCCTGTGCAATTCTTCCTCATATCCTTCTGTAAACACTGCACAGATGTTTCACCCAACATGCTGGGGTCCTTATAGGTTTCTTGATGTTACATGAATCCAATAAGCATGTAGGTTTATAGGATCAGATGCTTTCCTTTTCCAATCATAAATCTCCATGATAATGTCATTTTTGTTGCTTATTTTACACTCTTTCTTGTTGTTAATGTGTTACAGCCTCATATTTATCATATATCTTTCCATTGCCCTCCAGGTAATACACAGGTTCAATTTTTTTTAGAAGGCATAGTATTTCCATATCATAAATTATTTGTAGAAGTAAACATTAATATGTGAAAGATATATGATTTTCATCAGCAAAGGGAATTCTCAGTTTAGAAACTCTCTCTAAGATCACAACCTATCTATGATTTGATAGAAAAACTGTAGCCTAAGGTTGAGATCAAATGACATGACCTCTGTCATGCAGTTCATAAGTGTCAGAGACAGAATTTTATCTAGATTTCCAGACTACAATCTCAGCACTACATCCACTTTGCCACATTACTACTCTCAAAAGGATATTGTTTAAAAGATTGACTTCTGTTTTATGCAAAAGTTGGAATCATAAAAAAAAAAAACATTGCACAAATTACCAAAGATAATCCAACCAGTGATCCTCATCTTTCTGTTCAATATCAGACCCAGGGCATGATGGTTGTTCAGAAGGCTGCAAATGGTGGAGAGGCGGAGCCAAGATGGAGAAGGTAAAGCAGTGACTTGCTAGAGCTCTCCCCCAAACCCCTCCAAATACCTACAAAAAATGGCTCTAAACAAATTCTAAAGAAGCAGAACCCACAAAAAAGCAGAGTAAAACAAATTTCCAGCCCAAGACAACCTGGATGGCCGATCGGAAAGGTATATTGCACCAGGCTAGGAGAGGAGCGCAGTTCGGCGTGGGAGCACAGGCTGCAGCAACCCTGGAGCAAGCCTCAGAGGACTGAATCACGGGCAGCTCTGGTGGTTTCCAGACTTCTCAACCCATGAACGCCAAAGACAACTTAGAAGGTCAGTGGGAAAAGTCTGTTGCTGGGGTGACAGAGGAAGCTATATGTCAGCCACCCCGAGGGCAGTGGCTGACTTCTGAGCTTCTGGCCTACAGACTGAGGGGAAATTGAGTGGCTGATTGGAGGGGAATTGCAAGGATCTCTTTGCCAGGGCTGAGGCAGGAATCTCTTGCTTTGCCCGTGCTTGGATCTGGGTCACAGTTCTGAGGGGCAGTCCTGGGGCGAGGAGGAGTGCTGGCATGGTGGAGCTTCTTGTGGCCGTGGAGAGGAAACCCCTCGCCCCTTATCATAGCAGCTTGGTAGAACCGACACTTTTCAGGTCCCTAGAAGTATCTCTGAAAACAGCTGTACAAACCCCCAAAGCTTGGGACAGTACATTCTCCACATTGGAAACAGACTCTTACCTTAACAAAGAGTTTAAAATGCAAGTAATTGGTTGGGATCATGAGCAAGCAGAGCAAAAAGAGTCAGACTATATTATCTTACTTTGGTGACAAAAGAAGATCAAAACATACAACCAGAAGAAGAAAAGAAAGTCAAAGCTCCTATATCCAAAACTTCAAAGAAAAATTTGAATCAGTCTGAGGCCTTGGAAGAGCTCAAAAGGGATTTTGAGAAGCAAGTAAGAGAAGTAGAGGAAAAACTGGGAAGAGAAAGGAGAGTGATGCAAGAAAATCATGAAAACCAAGTTAACAGCTTGCTAAAGGAGACCCAAAAAAATACTGAAGAAAATAACACCTTAAAAAATAGCCTAACCCAAATGGCAAAAGAGGTCCAAAAAGCCAATCAGGAGAAGAATGCCCTAAAAAGCAAAATGGGCCAAATGGAAAAGGAAATCCAAAAGCTTACTGAAGAAAATACTTCCTTAAAAATTAGAATGGAGCAATTGGAAGCTAGGGACAATTTGAGACATCAAGACACTGTAATACTAATCCAAAAGAATGAAAAAATAGAAGAGAATGTGAAATATCTCACCGGAAAAACAACTGACCTGGAAAATAGATCCAGGAGAGAGAACTTAAAAATTGTTGGACTATCTGAAAGCCATGATCAATAAAAAGAGCCTAGACATCATCTTTCAAGAAATGATCAAGGAAAACTGCCTTGATATTTTAGAACCAAAGGGCAAAATAGAAATGGAAAGAATCCCCCCATCTCCCCTTGAAAGAGATCCCCAAAGGAAAACTCTTAGGAATATTGTAGCCAAATTCCAGAATTCCCAGGTCAAGGCAAAAATATTACAAGCAGCCAGAAAGAAACAATTCAAGTACTGTGGAAACACAATCAGGATAACACAAGATTTAGGTGTTTCTACATTAAGGGACCGCAGGGCATGGATTATAATATTCCGGAGGGCAAAGGAGATAGGATTACAACCAAGATTCAGCTACCCAGTAAAACTGAGTATAATTCTTCAAGGGAAAAAATGGTCATTCAGTGAAATAGAGGACTTTCAAGCATTCTTGATGAAAAGACCAGAGCTGAATAGAAAATTTGACTTTCCATTATAAGACTCAAGTGGAACATGAAGAGGGAAACAGGAAAGAGAAATCATAAGAGACTTATTAAGGTTGAACTGTTTACATTCCTGCATGGAAAGATGATATTTGTAACTCATGAGACCTTTGTCAGTATTAGGGTAGTTGGAGGGAAAAAATTACATGTATGTACATATAGATAGATAGATAGATAGATAGATAGATAGATAAAGGGCACAGGGTGAGTTGAAGATGAAGGGGTCATATCTAGAGAATAAAATTAAGGGGTGAGAGAGGATCACACTAGGAGAAGGAGAAAGGGAAACATAGAGCGGGGTAAATTATCTCACAAAAAAAAAAACAAAAACAGAAAAGAAAAGGCTCTTACAGTGCAGGGGAACCAGGCAAAGGTGAGAGGAAATGAGTGAATCTTATTCTCATAGGATTTGGCTTAAGGAGTGTATAACACACACACTCAATTGGGTATGGAAATCTGTCTTACCCTACAGGAAAATAGGAGGGGAAGGGGACAAGAGAGTAGGGGGATGATAGAGAGGAGGGCAGATTGGGAAAGGGGGTAATCAGAAGCAAATGCTTCTGAGGAGGGACAGGGTCAAAAGAAAGAATAGAATAAATGGGGGGGTAGGATAGGATTAAGGGAAATAGAGTTAGTTTTTCATAGTATGTCTACTATGGAAGTATTTTGCATAACTGCACATGTA